TCCTCCTCTCTGTCCTCCTCCTCCTTCCTCCTCCTCTCAGTTCTCCTCCTTCTCTCTGTCCTCTTCTTCCTTCCTCTTCCTCTCTGTTCTCCTCCTCCTCTCTATCCTCCTCCTCCTTCCTCCCACACCACCCTCTTTGTGCTTCTGACTCTTGTGCTCTTTGCTGGTTGTGGTTGTTATGATTTCCCCTTTTCTTCTCCCTCCTCTATCCCTGCTCCTAGTCCACCAACACCCTCCCTCTTCTGCCTTCTCTCCTCCTTATCATTCTTCAGTGAATATAAATAAAATTCTTATAGGAAGAAATACCATTTGGTTACTCAAGAACAGGTATGGCCTATTTCTCCAGCCCAACCCTTGCACTGTTTGGGGGTGTTTTGTTTGTTTGTTTGGTTGGTTTTGTGAACCTTATGAGTCAGAGGAAGGGAGCAAACTTCTGAGCATCAAATTGATGGAGTTGGCTTCATATTAAAACACCTACAGTTTGAACTTCACTATGATCCAGTGGCTTTTAAGTCAATCCAATGTCTATTAATGTTCCTTCCATGGCAAAAAGCAGGGTATTTTTGTTCAGTTTACAAATATTTGACAGTGTCTACTGTGTTAGCTGGCTTATGTGGTGACTGATAAAGAAGCAGTGGTCCTGTCCATAAACAGAAATGGCTTTGAGGATGGAATGCTGTTTGAGTTGGATTGAAGAGTGGGTGGATTCTTAACATGTGGAGCTCATGGTGTAGAGAGCATGTGAGGCTGAGGCCCAAGGGCAAAGGAAGTTATCCAGTACAGGATGAGACTCTAATCCTACTGTTTGACTCCAATATAGAACTCACTATCTTCCTCTGCCCCTCTCTCCAAGGAGAGTGCCACCTGGACCTTAGCTGCAAACCTGTCACCACCCCTACCTGCCACCCCTACCCTCTACCACCACCCCTACCCTCTGCCGTGTCCTCTTGACTACATCTTGTGATTCCATAGTCCTTCCAACGATGTCCCAATCTACCTTGGCTGAACTATGACAAGCTCTCATCTAAACTTTCAACCAACAGCCTCATAACTCTATTTGCTTACCAATCTCCAATTCACTCTTCATGCCTAATCCAGAGTGATCTGTCGTGTATGTGTGTGTGTGTGTGTGTGTTGGCACAGGGGCATGTGTACCAGGCATGTGTGTGGTGGTCAAAGGACCACTTCAGGGGTTAGGTCTCACCTTACTCTTTGTGTGAGAAAGAGGCTCTTGTTTGGCTGCTATGTGTTCCAGGCTAGGTATCTTGGGAGCCTCTGGAGTCCCTCGTGTCTGTCTCTTATCTCTTCCTAACAGCACAAAGAAAACAAATGTTGTGGCTGCACTCACCTTAACATGGGTTTTAAGAATCCAGACTCAGGACCCTACACTCGCACAGCAGGCTCTTTATGCTCTGAACCATCTTGCTAGCTCTAGAGTGATATTTCAAAAAAAAAAAAAAAAGCGAATTGAGCCCTTTAAAGAATTACCTTTTTCAGAGACTCCTTTCTGAGCCCTGTCTGAATCAGAAGACTCAGTGGTGCTTTCATGGCACCTCACTCCATCCTTCCTCACCCGTACCTCAATATTTTAGCTATATATTTAGGGTAAGATTATTTGCCTGAGAGTAGGGACTATGACTGTACAGATTTATTCTGTAAAGTAACATGGGTCCCAGCACAAACTAGAACTGAAGGAAATATTTTCAGAATGAATAATTGACAGATTCCACATATTCTGGCTGCATGTCCGTTTCCAAGAGTGATAAATCTCTGCTTCTTATTCTTTCCTCAAAAAACTCAAGTTTTTGTTGTTGTTGTTAGCCATCTGACAAATGTGCAGTTGCCAACCAAGGTGGACCTACTCCATCTCTTCTATGGTAACTCTGAGGCACTCTTTTATTTCTCCCTTGTATCTTAACACTGCCTACAGACCAAGTAACAGGTACCAAATTTGTATACAGGGATGAATGCCTGAGGGAGATGCTATAACCATGTGGGGATGTTGGAGACACTTCAGGAGTCTGTGGGGACTACAATCATGATGGAAAATGTTGGCTGATTTAGTCATTCTCATTTCCAGTCATGTAAAGCCAGAAAGCAAAATAGTCAGGGAATCAATTAACATATCATTTGGGCTTTTGTCCCTGGAAGATATTCCTTCTCAAACTCTTGTCGAAGTTTGAATAACTTGTCTTTGGCCCATCTGGACCAATGGGTGGGTCACATAAACAATCCCAACCGACTAGAACTTCACACTCATCTTCTAGCACTCAAGAGAAGTGTTAGGACCAAAACT